ATGGGTCGGAATCGACTCAAGGGCACTTAACAACGAGCTCAGCATATCAGACCTGGCCCTTTATGACCGAGCACTTACCTCCCTAGTCTTATCTTCTGCTTCTAACTTCAATTTTAAACTCTACCAATTTTAGAACCATGTTATCGTTTTCAAACACGTCTTATTTCTTTTGTCTGAAGTGCCTTTCTCACTTCTTTCATTGACTCTCGATTATCTTCCAAGGCTACTTCAGACAGGTTATTAACCACATCTTTGAGGTTACTTCTCATGCTGTAAGTGCTTCACTATATTATATCACATGACAATGAACCTTTCACGGAGTCCTGGTGTGGTGCTGTAGGATAAACACTGGACCTCAAGGTTGCTTTGAGCCACAGAGCGGGCGGTTCAAAGCTGCTCGGAAACCCTATACAGGGTTGCTACTAGTCTAAATTGATCCTACGGCTCTCAACAATATGCACCTTTCATATTATCACTGTGAATGGAATTGGTTTAAGCTTCTTGCAAACATAACATCTTTGAATCCATGACCTTAGTTTAGATTTTGGTATGCTTTTAGGCAGTCAAGTTGTTTCACCCTGACTAAGCCGTCTAACTTTACTCTCGTGTACTGTGGAACTTGCTGAGTGGCTCATCTGTTCTGCATGGTCAAGGAAAGTGGAGGCGGCCTGACCAATTAGGGTGGATAGCATACAAGTTGATAGCCCGTGGCCACTTTCCTCTCAGAGCCTTTCTTCGCAGTCTGAACAGCAAAGAAGAAGCAAGCCCGGGCTCCTGAAGTTTAGGGAATGGACAGTAAAGGCGCACAGAGATCACCTGTCCGGGAACCCAAAGTATCCTCCTTTCCTAGCTTCTGTTAGGGCAGAACTACTTTCGGCACGTTCCAACGTCTTCAGAGTTCCCAAAGCAACATTCTCAGGATGGACAAACCATCCCGGAACTCCGCTCCGGAAAAGAAGAGGCTATAGTGAGACGTCATAGATTACGAAAGGCTCGGTTGCTTGCGGAAGCCATGATAATAAGTTCGGCGTACTTTGTATCATTAATAGACAAACACCCTCAGACGCTAGACTTTTCGGAGGGATAGCAAGCAGTTCATTACAAAAGTACTTTTTGGTTACTACCCCTGAAAGATCCGTTACAAAATGCGGGCGGACTAGTCCACGGTAGAACAAAGGGCGAGCGAGGATCTTGAGAGCCCTGCGAAAACAGGGCATTGGGTATGCTTTGGTCACGAGACCCAGGGGCGGGCCGGGCGGAGTCGGTCCTCCACGGTCCCAGCCAGCCCCGCGCCCGCTTTTTGCCTCCCCTCCCCCAGCCGCACGTTGCGTGGCTGCTCGTTGGCTACTGAGGACGGAAGCTCGGTTGGTGTGTCTCCAGAAGTTTCCTCGTTGGGCGGTGGCGGACTTGGTATCCTCTGTTCTCATAGTGACTATCAGGGATGGCGGCGGCTGCAGCAGGATCTGCAACACCCCAGAGGTGCGTGCGTCTTCTTTCCCTATTTTTTTTTTTTCTTCTTTTAAAAGCCTCCTTTTTTTCGTTAGCCCGCCCTGCTGAAGTCGTTGTTTTCCTGGCAGGTTTTTCCGGAGCCTCACAGATGCTCTGATCGAGGAGGACCCCCAGGCGGCGTTAGAGGTGAGAGCCGGTGTCTGCCTCCTTTGGGGAACCCGGCTGCTGCGTCGGCCCCGGAGACCCCGCCTCTTCCCAGCGCTATCTTCCTGTGTCGTGTCCCAATATTGAAAGCCTCAGTTTCTCCTTCATGTTTCCACACTAACTCAGTGCCCCAGTCCCCGCTCCTTTGCCCTCCCACTCCTAGTTCCCTGCATCTTTGCAATTTCTTAGAAAGTACACTTTCCCTCCTGTTTTGATTCTTCTTGGCCTGAAAAAAAAAAAGCTTTTGTGATTGGAAGACTGAAAACTAGGCTTGGTGATAATTTGTTACTATGGGTTGGTTTCATTTGACAGTCATCTTTCCCAGGCACGGTGTTAATTGCATTTATGAGCGCAGTCAGCTGGGACAAAACCTTCCTTAAGTCCTTGAAACTTTCGAGATGTCCTGTGTCATAGTTTCTTGGTGCTGTTGTAACAGAAATTTCACACGTGGTGGTGATGTGCCGTGGGGTCGTTTCCCACTGATGGTGGTGGTTATGTGCCGTGGATAGCGACCCTGTATATAGGGTTTCCAAGGAGCAGCTGGTGAGTTTGAACTACCGACCTTGTGGTTCGCAGCCCAGTGCTGATC